ACTTTCTCCAGTTACTCGTGACGGTCATTTCCTTGTGTAAAAACCGTATCGATCTCCATTCAAGAATCTTAAAACGCGTAAAATGTAATTTACGTAAACGGATTATCATTTAGTTGCTAGATCTCTCGACGTGACGTTTCCCGTTGGGGAATACCCAGCCGCGAAAGTTGATTACCTTCTGCGCATTTGATCTTCGGCTACTTTGGACAATAGATTCGTTCCTTTCTGCAAAGAAGAGTACATTGTGCCTGAAGCCAAGGAGTATGTCTGCCTCCTCTAGAGTTCAATGTCAAGACGCCACGCATCGTCGTGTAACCTGCTTCTAACCAGGGTCGATGAATCACCGAATAACGTCCCATCTTATTCATTGTATGCTTATACAACAACGGATTGCAGCCCGTCTTGACCCACAACACCTTTACACGAAATGGTTTTATCTTCTACTTAGCAAACCATCTCCAAGTTTTTGCTCATAGCCCATTGGAAATGTGCTTTCATAGAACAGAATTTGTGGCTCACAAATTTGCTACGTCTGGGTATTCCGTTTGTGCTGTTATTAACACGTCCACTGTAATATTTCTCTATATTTAACGCGCCTCTACTGCTAACAGTGTAACCAGTTGTTCAGTTAATTACATCCTCGTACTCAAGAGAGTATGCTACTTCCTTAATGTTTTTATTTTTTAAGTGTACTCTAACAATATGATGCAAAATACGTACTGTATTAAATATTTTTTAATATTGTTCTCTCTATAAAAATTATATTCTAGATTATTCTTAAAATCATGACTGTGTTTGTTGCGACGCTAAATCTTCTAAGAATATACGTACAATGTAATCACTGAACGTATCCTACTAGAGGTATGAGCAATTGAATCATTCATGCAATCGGTTGGGAATCATTCAATTAATATACGTAATATCGATTATCTTATGATTTATCGTATAATCCTATGATTGCACTCTAGGATCTACTCGACCATTTGACATTTCTTGGAGATTCAATGACGTGTGTTAAATGTACGTGGTATATTCCAACAACAATACGTAATCAGACGATGCAGTGAGATTTTGAAATTGTGTAATGATAGAAACGTCTTGTAATCTTTTTTCAAATTTAGAAATGTGAATAGTCATTGATAACGAGTGAGAACGATGAAGAGCAGGATTCTATAAAGAGCAGACACAAGACAAAGCGGTTCGACGACAACAATAATGAATAAAAGGCGAGAGTCCAAGCGAGCACTGGCAAGCACTCATCGTTAAAGAGACTGAAGCCATAAACGAAAATGTATGAAAAGGGAAACGCCGGAAATCGAGGAGGTGTGCGTTAACGCAGCCGTGAATGGAAACGGGCTGAAAAAAAGCGACGGGAAGAATCGAACGAGTAACGTAAAAAATGAAAACTTCGGATGCGGTGAACCGCAGATCGATTGAAAGCTTGGGAAACTCGTGAATGTTAACGATGAAAGCACTATCAATAAAGCACGGTCCAACGATCTAACGAAAATAATGATGAAAACTTGAGATGAAAAATGAAGTAAGATATATAACAATTTTTGAAGCGCACAACAATTTTTAAGATATTACGCAATAATATTTTACATAAAATTAGTATACAGAATTTATAATACACTTCAGCTAAGATTGCTGTAATTTCATTGACAAAACTGTTTTGTATTTATCAGATCGAGTTCTGTTTCTGGATAATCCCATTTCTTTTCGCGCGTACGATTCACCACGTGATTGTAACTCCATTCGTCGAAGAGTATTACGTGAGTGGACACACGACGAATATCAATAAGGAGTTTAAGGTCGTTCATACTTATTAAAAAAGGGCGGAGTGCGGTCGCGCTCGAGTCAGAACGGTTTCAGAGATGGCCAAGAGCATTTTTCGTGCCGCTGCACCTCTCTTGTGTGTCGTGACAATCGCGTGGGCAGGTAAAGAATGAATAAAAATAAAAGAATTCTTCGTTTAAAATCTGTGCAGTGTGTTTTTGCCTTCAACGACTTTCTTATTCATACTGTATTCAGTTTAATCTGATAAAAAATGAAATGCATTTTGTGATTTTTATATTCTCTTCGGAGAAAATAATTATAAAAGTGTAATTATGTGTCATATATTATAGGTGATCGCGCTCTTCTCGGAGGGGAAGACGAACGACGATGGAACACGCCACCGGAATTGATACCTGAACAATTTATGAAGACTAACGACGTGAAGAACGAGCGATCCTTGACGATTCCGATCACCACAAGTATTAATGTGAACGCGGGAAGCAATGCGCATTCTTTAGGGTTTCAAGTTGGTCCCGAAGGCATTAGCTATTCTGAAAGCAATAGCTTCAATCGACCATTGTCTCAATCGAACGGGTATGTACGTTTCCACGATGAACGAGATAGAATTTAACAATTACTATGATACTTCCATGACTAATGGCATTCAACGTCGATCGCGTCGACATTGCGTTGAATGACTAACATAACATTAACAGCAACTGTAGAGAATAACCAATTATTGTACGCTTTAAACGTGCAAATTTTCTTTATAGACTTGTCACATTTAATTAACACGTTTTAAGTAAACATATTTCAGTTGCGAGCTTATGACATATTAATAATGTAATTTACATGAATGATAAATGTCAATAAAATTCCTAATACAACGTGTCTCTTGTATAATAAGACAGGCAAAATATAACTCTTGTCATCAGATTTTATAAAAATATAAATCCGTTGTTTAATAAGCACCTAACGGGAAAACAACGTGCATATTCGTTTTCAGAGTTTCGCAAAGCCAATCGGTGTCATTCTCCGCGGGATTAACGGGGATAGCCGGTGCTGTATCCGAAGCTAGCAGTCAACATCATCCTATATATGGTAATCAAGGGAATGCCAATAATCAAGCGCTCGGTTTTGGCATCGCAGCTGCTTCTTCGTCTGGAACCGTCCAAAATGGACATGTGGCTACCTCCGCTGCGTCTTCTGTCGGTTCAGTACATTCCTCGGCTTCGTCAGGCTCCTCTCAGGGTATGAACATCAGGTTTCCGGACCAGAGTCACAACCGTCCAATTTGGACTAACATTCGCCCGAATCACAACAATAATGGTAAGTTGGCAAAAATAATGTGCCTCATTAGCATTTGTAAAAAAGTAATAGAATGAAATGTTTCTTTGGTGTCAGTTATTGCAAAATAATTAATACTATTGGTTTATAAGTATATAAATACGTTGAACTATTTAATATTGGTAGTAGATAGAACTTTTTATCGATAGTTATGACGAACTTGGAGATGTCCAATAAATGATCAGCCACAATTTTTTTTTTGTAGGTCACCAACCCACGCGTATGCCGAAATTAGACATCGAGGTGAAACCGCACCGTGAACCAAATCGTAAACCGATAATGTTAGTTGTTTCGGCACCCGGTCCAAGATGGGAAACGAGACAACCGAAAATTGAGATACATAAATGGCATCCTACTTACAGAATGTATTACGACGATGAACAAAGATAAAGATGTTACAAGAATAAATGTAATTTTAATTATTGTGATTGTTTTTTTATTTGATGATGTTCCGTGAAATAAAGATAGCCTGTTCATTCAGAGTTTTTATTCGTTACTCTATTAAAACTTGATTCATTCATCTTTGTACGTTGTTTCAAGTTACGAAGGAGTATAAATGTCTTATCACTGAATCAAAAATTAATCATGAATAAAATATTTTGTATTTCCCAATCGTTCATCATTATTGATTTATACCACTTCGATACGTTTCCTAGAATTACTAGATCGTTACTTCAGATAAGTATGAAAGATTACTGAGCTACGTACAGCACAATTTCAACAAGGTCGTTTAAATAAGAATGAAAAAGGCCAATTTCTTACACATTACATATGAGCATGAAATTGATCATAATTAAGAATTATAAGGCGATGGACGATGACTCTCTTTGCTTTCTTGTCACCTTGAATAAATTCCGAATCTGTGATAAGTAGGTGAAGGGGAACGAAAATTTCGAAGGTCAAATCGCGATCTTGAACTCATCGTCAGTGCGACATCTCAAGAATTATTGATGATTGCGTTGCAATTTTTAGCTTAGGAGAACTCTATTTTGACGACTATCGTAGATTTCACTGCCAGGTATATTATCGAAGCACGATAACCGCGACAAAAAAAGGCAGCGCTCTCTAATGCCGACAACGTGTTTAGCAAAATTCAAATATACTTAATCTGCATTTAAAAATTATTCATATATAATATATAGTCTTAGTACGAAATTTATATCCGAAAAAAAGAATTAGGGAACAATTGCAATCATCTATAACTATGTAATAAAAAATTAAAAATATTGCAATACTTCTTTTTAATATACAATATATTTATCTAAAATGGCATCATATTTCTTCAGTTCTTTTTAAACGTAGTGAACATCAAGGCGAGAACACCGTTCCTGTAAGTCCTCTTTCTGTCAATAAAAGTCACATCACTGATACTAGAAATTGGACTGCGTAAAAATATGATCACTATAAACAAGGAACGTAACGTACAACATGTAAATCAAGAAATGACAGAAAGTATATGTTTACCAGTTGAATTCAAGGCTGTAACATTGACTCAGGATTATTCATTGTAAAAGAGGAACTCGTAAAGCAGATATACTTAAGAAATAGTAAGAAAGAAATTTTAGCTACATATTAACAATACTTTATATTATTTTTAATACAATCGTTAATAATTAATTTAATTAAGCATATTTTGAATTATAAGCTAATTATATGTTGTCAAAAAGATAGTATAAGCTATGAACCAATAAATCATTATTAAAAATGATTTGCATAGAAGAGTTTATTAAATCTTTTGATTAATTGAATTTAACAATCTCCTCATTCATCGGTGTTTAGTCTGTGTTTATACAAAGCAAGATGATTTACCTGTTATTCAAGAACAAACTGGCTTTCCTAGTGATAACATTTAGATATATTTCCGGAATCTACAAGAATAGAGAGTGACGCACTGATGAATGTAGAAAGAGAAAAATAATAATAGCTTGTCTGATTCGACTTACTGTTTATCCAGTCATCAAGAAGTGTTTAGAAACCTGTCAGGTTTGAGTTTGACGGTCTTACAAGTATTTCATGACGAGGAATAACGTGTTTAAAAAAATTTGTGCAAAACATTAAAGGAATAAGATTCAGAACATAATGAAATGTAGTTTTCCTTTAAATTCAGCTACTCCGTCATCTAATATAACTATGCTGGTTTTGAGAAATCCCCGGTCGTAGGTAAAACGTCTAATCTACCATCTCTAATTGCATATCGGTATAATATCAGTGCCGGTAAACAATTAAACTACTAAACTCCTCTCCAAGTTCCACGAACCTCAATTCCGGAAATGAACAAGCGTTTCGTTCTTCTCTGTATCACATTTAACAAAATTAGTCAGAAAGGTAAACAGAGATCGATGTCTACCAACAGTAGAAAATCACTTCGTCATACGCTGCTTTAATAATTCTATCTATAGTATTTCATTTAATACTTGGCAATTCATCATTTTTAAATTTCTCATGTTTAACAACTTAATGCGCTATGATAATACATTTAATTGCACGAGGGACGGGTCTGTTCACGGTTGCCTGTGAGAAAGGAGCATATTGAAGATTAATTATTTGAAACTGATTATACCGCTTATTATCCATAGATTTGCTCTTTTAATTGAACGAATGCATTATATCCACATGTATTTTTAACTGCCCACCGTACGTAAGCGATTGATTTATGGGACATACGGAAAAGTACGAATGCGGGGTATCACCGGAAAAATACAAATTAAACGCCTATAATTAGTTGAGTCATAGTCAATTCATAAGGCAATTATTGTTTCGATTGTAAAATGACGTAAATCGCAATTGTTGTTACTCAAGTAAATTTATCCTACAACTTTAAAATCTTCAAATATCTTTGAGAAGTACTACTCCATGGGAGCAAATCTAATTAGGATTGCAGGATGGATGCAATATGTAATCGAGTTCATGCGATTAAAGTGTGTAAACTCATCCTGTTGTTTTCCACAAACATTTACCCCTTTCAATTATGATTTTTACCGAGAAATGTGCTCATCGAATTCCATGCTATTTATAGATCGAATCTGCCTTCTATAGGCCAAGGTCACAAGAGATTAAGATTCCGAAACAATCAACAGGAAGTACACAATGCCTAGTTAGATCATTTTTAAGTCCGCAGGTTTTGTACGGATCACACGAACCAGTGATCTCACTATTTTGCTTAGAAATCATCGTAAATTATCGACCCGGTTGGTTTCATACAAGGATTAAATTAAACCGCAGTGTACGCATATTACTTACTTACATACGCGGACAATTTTCCTGGTATGTCTAATTATCTCTCTCTCTATATCATCAGATAAAATCGAATTGCATCGTTAAAAGCCTATGAGAGGGAAAGGAATATCTTTATCAACAGGATGTAACGCAAATATTCTCCTTATGCTGGTATATATTGATTGCTAATAGACGTTTTTCGTTTTAATTTATACATTTATAGAACACTACGATTTTTACAAAATTAATTCAGTACGAACTTCACATTTCATCCGATTCTATATGTTGTTCTATCTACTGTCTCATAAAAATTATCAAATCGTTCATACACTTTCTAAGAAATGTATAATGAATAATTTTAATCACTTACATAAAATTCAGTTTTCATTTGTACATAAAAATCACGGGTCAATGTTAATGACGGAGTTAGACAAACAGGATCATGACACTTTACAAGTTGATGTGTTATTATATGTTTTACATTTGTATACTAATCAAATATGAATCTTGAAATGTTTGTTGTATGCAAGGTACGTTAAGTTACTTGTAGGAGATCATCCTACATTGATAGCGTTTCAATTCGCAGAACACGTCCTGGGACAACGTCGATGCGATTGTGTACTTAATTATGGTTACTATGCGTCATACGAATAGAATCATCTCGTACACACAACGAATTTCTAATTAAATTAATTAAAACCATTGTTTGATCGATTTGGAATTTCCCTTAATTGTCGTTTAATCGTAAGGATACGTACCTCGACCTTGAGTAACGTAATGGCTAATTCAACGAAGGATGCTGTTGAAAATACAAATATTGTAGATACCTGTAGCTGCAAAATAACCCATAATTTTATTTGTTCTATATACGAAAGTTTAAATGTCATATTATTATCCAACCTGTATATATTGTTACCTCTAACACAAGGGGGAAAAAAGTAACACGAATGCATTTCCTTAAATTTTATTAAACAACAATATTAAAGAAATAAAAGTTCACTTCGCTGAAGATTGATTTACAAACGTGACAGACTACTGAGAAATATTATTTATCAACTTTTTACGACATAAAATGCTTGTTTTATCAAATATTGCACGTTCACTGAGGTCAAGCATAGTATATGAACGAACCAAATCACGTTATTCAATACTGTCAAACTGATAGCCAATTTTTTAATTTCATCATTAATCTGTTTGATTGATAATAAAAACGTACGACGCACAGAGTCCAACAGGGTGCTTCTAGGAATTGCCCTACGTCACATATTGCGCGTGCTGTCGATTTCGATGCGTGCTGCTTTCTCATTCAACACAAGTTGCACTCGGTTCGATTCATCGTCTGGCGACGAAAATATTATAATCAGTCGTTAAACACTGACGAAGGTTGAGAGGCTTGTGGACGAAAAAATAAGAATGTTACAGTGCGCATAGACAGGCGGGACTGGGATTCCCGCGGAAAAACCAAAACTGCTAAATTGTAATGGTAGTAAGCAAACACGGTAACGGAAGAAGAGCGGAGAGGTGGCTCATCGCTTCGGTCGTGTGTAATGTTACATAATTAGTCTGGAATAGTGTATAAAGATCGATGGCTATAAAAGCAGTAAGATGAAAGAACCGATGCACAGTGCGACCTGAGAGTTCCAAGCTCTTCACGATGGCTCGCGATATAAAGTGGGGTCTCTGCGCCCTGCTCCTACTTGTGTTTGTCACTGCCCTTTCGGCAGCACCAGCTACAGGTAAGACTAAAGGATCTCTTATTAAGTTTCATATTTATTTTCCTTTTGATTTTAATTCTGTATACTACTTCATTTCATTTTATTCATTTTCCATCCTGCATATACATCGCTTTGCCCTAATGTATATACAATTCAACCGAATTTCTTAATTACTGCAATTAAACGTCATAAATACTTGTATGAAAATTTCATTAGTTACTTCAACTTCTGTTTTATATTTATCTTATTTATATTATGACTGCCTTTTAATACCCACATTTCGTGTACCAGCAGCCTGTGATAATTAACCGTTTGTGATTAATTTTAAGAAGTGACCAAAGCGGTAAATGATGCGGAGGACACGACTCTACCGACTGAAATGAAGCCTCCTCCAGCGCCGGAGGGGCTTCCAGGATCAGAAAAAGAGGACCACCAGTACATGGTCTTCGTCATAAATCTTTTCGGTTTGAAAAATGCCAGCGGCGAGACCTCCGACGAAATATTCGAGAACAACGTCATTAACAAAGTCCCAGAATTATCAGGTAAATAATTGAAAAGTAACTTCGCTTACTATTTTCGAATCACTTCCTTACTTAACTAATTGATACAGGACCATTGGCAACTGTGCTGTTAATCGTCGAGGTCGACGACGATGACGAGGAGACCGATGCACCGGTAGACCTTGACGTGGTTGCTGATGACTTACAGAACAGCGAAGGTATCAATGTTGAGAAGATAGCCCACGCTGGCGAAACGAAAGTGCTCCGAGTGAAGCTCGACAAGGAAGATGTTGAAGGCCTGTCACCCAAATACGAAAAGATCAAGAAGTCACGCAGCAAGAGAACGCCGTGCCTTAAGTGTGCTCTGCTGATGTTGAAGGGCGGTGGTAACGGTCTTGGAGGCTTTGGAGGAGGATACGGAGGTGGCGGTGGATTCGGAGATGGCGGATACAAAGGTTTAAGTGGCGGCGGTTGCGGAGGAGGCGGATGTGGAGGAGGATATCCTGGCGGAGGTGGCTACGGAGGAGGAGGATATTCTGGCGGAGGTGGCTACGGAGGAGGAGGATATCCTGGCGGCGGAGGTGGCTACGGAGGAGGAGGATATCCTGGCGGCGGTGGCGGAGGATATCCTGGAGGTATGTAAAGTGCAATCTGACAATTGATTTCTTGTTTCATCTTCAATATGACACAGGAATTAATCCCATTGGTATTTATTATTTAATAAGGGTATCAAAAATATTTCTATGATATTTTAACTCGGAGCTTACTAACAACTAATAGTAGTATAATAATATAAGCAATTATTTCAAATTAGTAAGTTAAGTAATTAAACTGATAACATATTTTTAACTATAGTTTAAGAACTTATTACGTAATCATTTATCGCAGTTGCAACACTAATGCCTCAGTTTTCTTGGCATAATTAATATTACGCTCTAATCAAATTATGGACTAGAAATACCATATCAAATTGCCTCTGAGCTGTTATTAATCTGCGTTTAACGAATGCGCTTCCGCTTCTAATCCTAACCATTTTTATAGGGTATCAGCAAGTACAACCTGTTGTTGTTATACCTATTACAGGTGGACATGGTGGATACCCTAGCGGCGGCGGTGGCGGCTGCAGTACGTGGTAAGTTTTTAAATCGACAAGTTACATTTACTTCAGTGAAGCAATCCGGAATCCATTATATACATTCTCTCTCCATAAATATTTGACGAATCTTTCAGAAACATTTAAAATATTCTAAACAACTGATATCTTATCGTCATATTTCAGTGGCGGTGGCGGCGGCGGCGGAAAGTCATACGCTTCAGCATCAGCGCAAGCGCAAGCGGGTTCCCAATCGTGGTATGTACACGCAGATAAAATCTTACTTACTGGTTCATTCAACACTTTGCACATCGTCACTGTAAAACAATTTTCTATTTCCACAGGGGAAAATAATGAAGAAAGTAGCAGTTAAGAACTTCGACACACTATATGCTGCCTGCGACGTCCATGAACAAAACAATTTTTTAATGTAACTCTTTAAAACGTGAAACGCGTGATTACGTTAATCTGTTACGATATCAACATTCGTCATCTCGATCGCCGATCTATTGTAACATGCATCTCAGACCGCCTAAATAAATTAAGAAAACAGTAAAAACGGGTTTGGTTTTAATAAAAGCTCGGCACTCATCGCGTTATGTATTCGTACGTGAACGATTTCCAGGAAATAATCGCGGGTTCCATCCGTGATTGATGTCCATCGTTAAAAGGGGAGAAGCGCAACGCGTTAACGAGCTTCGTTTCGCATGCCGTGTGCATTGCCCAGTCGGCTTTAATGCGCCTCCGTTTATTCATTTCAACTAGGCATCTTCGAGGTACCTATGTTTATGATAATAAGATAATCGATCACATGTATCGTAAAATTGTTGATTCGTACCAACGGCCTTGAAATACTCCTGCCACGTAGAAATCATACTAAATAATGCAATGGATGCAGAGCGACAGATTAACTGGATAGTACTTAAACAGAAAGTTAGTTCTCCTTATCATACGACATCGAAATATATATAAAGCGAGTATTACTTGTTTATCATTAGTTTAATCTACGACGCATCGAGAGACTACTTTATAATTAGTACAACGATATGTGCAATCAACAGTAATTGCTTGATTGAATGTTTTTGCAAAACACTTACGTCTTATGTTAAAAAAACATTTTAAAACAATACTGCGCTTTCAGAGCGTCGAGAATATAAGGAATCAGTCGTATATTTAAGAAAACAATTAAAGAGAATATCGCTGCTAATTTACTTTTCATTTATTATTAAAATTCTTTTCAATTTCACGATTTAAATCGTACGTTCGTATTAAATTAATGTAATCAAGGAGTTTAAAGATACACGTTCATAGATTATAGCGATCTATAAACGAATGAAATCGACAGCTACGTGTTCGGAAATGTACACGCGATACTTGCACGTCGATAATTAATGTTACGGCCAAAGTAAAACAGACGCGTATAATTGTGTACATCAAACACTGATAGATAGCATGATTCAATTTCATGTAATAGTCGGAAAGAACGGGTTTGCCGTTTGCCGGGCTTATGGTTTGCGCGCGACTGTGTACACGTACATACGTACATACATATACGTAGCCGTGCGTGCATACATACGTGGGTCTCGCAAGTAGCAAGTCCATGCTGTAATTATGGCGCGAGTTGGGTGAACATAACGGTAAAGTTTCGATTCTTTTCTCTATTTTTCCTGGCCTGTCAGGAGAGAATGAGTACGCGCGCGCGTGCGGAACGAATTCCGCGCCGAAATGGAGTCAAACCTCTGTCACTATTCAGGCGATAGTCGATTAGCTGTCGCCGATCCAATTGCGCGCACACTATCGAATCCTTTCGCACTAGCAATTAAAAATGTACAGTTACTGCAGGAGTTCGTCGAACTTAAAAATAGCACCATGAGAAACAGATATTTTTACTCTGAGAATGATCAACTTTCATATTTAATGTAATCAAGTGAATTATTTATTTCGAACATCAAACGAGATACGAGCACTTTATAAAAATACATTTAATTAACTGTAAAAAGATCAGTGGGAGTCTCGAGTGAGGCGAAGTGAAAATGTGGGTCTGCAGGTCGTTGAATACCCCGTGACTTCCATCAAAGTCTCAATCGTGAGTAGCGCTTCGCCAATCTTCTTCTTCATCATCTTCTTCTTCGTGATTTGCGAGTATTTTCCGGTCGTTGACCGTCGCCGACGGCAAACGGCCCTCGAGGTCTTCTGGACGAGCCGCGTGCGTCGAGGAAAAACTGGGCGAACCGGGGCGGACCGCAAAAACTTACGACGACCAGCGAAATAATCAGACCTCCTCGGTTTCTCCTTCGATTTCTTCGGGAACAACCTACCGTGTATCAAAATTCTGTACGGGTCACTGTATGCAAAAGTTTCCATACTTTTCAGCGCATGTATATATACAAAGCGTATAATCCGAATAGGATATATCTTTAATTTACTAATTACTTATTTACTGAGCGTGATGTGAGGCTTTCATTAAGAAGAAGAGAAATGGCTTTTCACCAGTACACTTTATACTTTCATTGTTATACAACAATAGCTTGCGCGATTAATGGATCTGGTTAATAATTTGGGCCTTAGAACACGCGTATCGAGTTCGTTCTGGTATTTACTCACTGCACTATCAAGTTGATAAGCTTGATCGCTTGTAAGATTGATTAATTGATTTTCGTCAAGTAAGTGGCTCATAAAGCGTGCCGAACGAGAACGTTACTGGCCTAATTCGCACAGCCGTTATTTGAAATAAATCTTCTCCTGTCACTAATCACATACTATTACATGCTAAAAATTCGAGTCCGATAAATCTTAAACAAGTTATAATCATAGTACGTACAACTACGACGTGTAACTTTCATTTTATTAGATTTAATCGCGATGTATCATCAATTTTTTCTAACATTTTACTTATTTGATTAATACGCAGTTATTAACAGCGAGGCAGTATTCGTATGAAATAACAGTATTCATGCGTTAAGTCGTTATCGGCGCATATCAAAACAGACTCCACGGTTCGGTCTTAATCTATTATGCAAAGTGATTTATACGTCTGTCGACGGACTTTCAGTGTCTTCCATGTAACACAGACATCAGCAATCTGAATGGTAAAACGGCGTCCCTGCACGCTGCCGTTATTTTGAAAAAGCATTGACAATAATTGCATCCGCGATAAGACCAGCGAGTTGTGCAAAGCGAAATATCGTTAGATCGGCGACGACGGTTTTTACCTAGCGTCTATTTTCCCTTCATCCGGTTGCGAACCGGGGTGGACTTAGGTTCGTTGGTGATTACGGAACGACAAGGCTTTAATTTAATCCTCAGCAGCTTTTTTAGGCTCGTAAACGAAACCGGTTGCATCCAGTTGGAATATACATAGAAAACTCGAACCGCTAGAACTGTGCGGCGATCGCGTAAAGGTGTCCCGCGAAAAATCGCATTCTTCGTTGCAAAATTATTGTTACATTTAATTTACATTCGTAGACAAAGTTTCGAACTTCACCGACATTATTTATTTTTCTGACAACTTTTTCGGTCTCCTCTGATTAATTCATGATAAGTGATATTACATATAATGGATAGTTGCTATTTAAAGTGGCATTCATATGAAACTGGTTTCTAAAGTTAAATTGAATCACTCTTCTTAAGCACGACTTCAATCCACTTTTTGCCAGAAATTGATACCAAAAGTGTTGATGTGGAAGACCTAGTAAACCAGAATGTGAACTGTGTCAATAGGCGAGATTATGCGTGCGTCCACATCCGGTGATACATAGTCACTTACACCCTTCTTCGACATGTACAAAGCGGAAAAGGGGACATCGATCGATGATGATATATGTTGCACGAGCTAACCGGTAGTCACGAGCAGCAAAATGGAAAGTGACGCAACTTTTCCAACGCGAATTTCTTATCTCTTCGGATCATTTGAATTGGTAAGGTATTTTATAAACATCGCTTAAGGAACTTCAATTCATTTAAATTTGTATGTTAGTCCAAATGAAATGAAACACACTTCCGTATTTACAGTAAACCAATATAAAAAAATTATACGAAGTAGCTAAAGTAATAAAATCATGCGATATTTCAAAATCTTCTTGAAAAGGAATTATGATTACAATACGAATAATTCATTAGTCTCTTGCAGTCATTTTTAAACTGTGTAATACTCAATTTTTCCATTTAAATTTACACTGACAATGTACCGCGAAATTGATTGGCAAATGGAAGATAAGCACGTAGGTGACGCAATTTCAACGTTTACAGGATATTGTCACGCACGTCCCGTCGTTCGAGGTAACAGTTCAAGTTGTACCTGTACCTGGCATGCTTGTAACGCAATGAAAAGAGCTTATTTAAGAACGCGTGAGTCTTGCACACTGCGTACTGGTCCTGACCTTTCGTTCGGGATACATCATTGCCCCCAGGCTTGTTCGACATAATAAAGCAACATCGATGCAGGAATAATAAAAACGATTTATTCAACAAGACGGCTGGAGACGAAAACGCAACACAGCTAACGGTAACTCACGAGTCAGTACACTTGTTAAGTAAATCTAACTACCCTAGAATTCTTCTGAAACGAGAAAGGACGTGTCTTGCTTGTATTTCAGTACTTTATACCATCCGCAAATTGAACATGCTTTTCCAAGCTCAATATTCTATCACAAATGATTAAGTGATTAAGTACACGTTTTCATAAATGTTATATGATTCGAAACAGGATTGTGATTCATAAAACGCCTATTAATTTCATAAACGAGCTTCGTCGATTACGATTTATCAATCTCTATCATACGTCGATCAAACCCGGCCTTCGATCTGTGTGATTTACACACTGTGTGTCGAGCCTCGAATCGGATTCACTTGAACGATCAGGAAGAGGATTCAAGGTCGAAGATCTCTGGCAATCTCGCGGGGTACGATTACCTGTGCGAAGAGAACGAATCCGTTTTTAAAAGTAGGCCGTTTCGCGAGTAAATCGAGCATAGCAATATCAATTTAGAAACAATGTGAAACATCCATTTTTTGCTTCGTCTAGTTGAGCAAGATACTTATGATACAAAACTTAATTTATAAAATCAAATGCAATCATTCACTTTTCATGTATTACTGAATTATTTTGATCTTTTTAGGCAGAAATAAATACAGTTTAAATCTTTAATTGTGACCATGATCTCTGTTTACTACATACCTGTTTAAGTATTGTATACGTTTGTACAATTGAAATAAATCTTGAAATGGTTAATTATTTTCGTAAACCGAACATGCAGTAATGTTAATCCTTCCTTGAACGAAACGAAATTCTCGCAGCAGGCTGAAAAGCGAAGCGGCTAAATTACAGAGCTCGTCTCTATACCCCTGGATTTCCGAGAAAACAGCGAGAGCCAGAGGTATCCTAATAGGCATCGTCTCGATTGCCGAAAGTAAAGGAAGATTTGACTTTTTGCTCCGATATTAACGGAACGGCGTTAACCCCGAGGGGCCTCGGCGTGGTCAGAGAGACCGAAAGGGTAGAGGGGACCGTAACATATAAAGGAGAGAGCCCCGTGCTCCAGGGGCTCAGTACCGTTCAAAGATGCAGCCAGCTGAGATGATGCGTGGTACCAGGGCCGTCTACAATCTTGTGTTACTGATATCAATCTCAGTCGCTTATGTCCGTGAGTAATAAGGAATTTTTGAAATTCCCGCGTGGACAATCTGTGCATATAAAAGTCCGCGACTGTGATTTACGTAAAAATTCCGATAAGTGTCGAGACAAAACTGTGGAAACGTTTATTTCAAATCGTTCGTCCTTGTGTCTTCTAAGGAATATCTGTGACTGATAATGATTAATAGAAATCATGACGGAAGTGTAGAAATGAAATAGTTAATTAATAATGCCAGTTGCCTTGAAATTGCGTTAAAACATGTGCGTTGAATATTCAAAATCGAATATTCTGTCTAGTAAAATAAAAGTGAAAAATTAATTACAGAATAACGTGAAGCTCTCACATTTTAAGAAGAGATATCTTACGCTGAAACACGTTCGAGATTACGTGCACATTCTTTCCCTTTAATTACTAATATCCATCGTTTATCTTGAATGCCTCATTAGATTTTAATCGACAAATCGATTTATAATTATTACCACGAAAGGCTGTCATCGTATTATGATCATAAATCCTTCTTAACAATAAATCCGTAATTTCGTTTAGTTAATAATACATACACGTAATTTAATTCGATTTTAAACGTATCACAAACTTCTTTTAGATTCGTACCCGCTTCAAATATTACCTAGCATCCCGGGATACATTCCGGTTTACATAAGATATGGTGATCAGCCTCTGGAGGAAATAAATCCTGCGTTAGCCGAAGCGTTTCACGAAGGAGGCTCTTCTAAGGTAAATTACTTTATTATATCTGATAATATTACGGATGATCCGCATTATCCAAGTCCTATGAATCAGCAAGACACTTTATTAGACTATAAAATCCATGTAGCATCGCAATTCTTCGCCAACAAATCAAAATGAATCATTTTCAGCGTTAACGTCTCGCTATTAATTTTTATTTTGAAGAATGTCCGTCGTTTCGTAATCGAAAGATTTACACATAAATTGTTCTTAAGTTTCAAAACCTGTTCCTTTGATGATTATTACAGAGCCTCAACTTAGATAAAATTCCTAATGCTCCTGGCATCAGTCCTGAAGAAGACGAAGCGAGCAAATATAATGTTTACGCTATAGACGTTAGACAGGCGAACAATCGTTTCGTTGACAAAGGAGAGGATAAAAAATCGACTGCGAAGGCTGCAGGAATAAAAGCAGCGGAGCCACCTGCGAGCAGCAACAAAGGAAGACGTCGACAAAAACTCAGGCGAAAGAAACCGAGCCCTGTAGTTAAAGTATGAACTGCATTCATTTTATATTTTCTCGTGAAACTGTAAAATAACATCTGCGAACGAATGAAAAAAGAAACGACACGAGTGCTTCTCGAATTTCTAACACTTTTGTCATTAAAAATGGGTATTACTTCACGTTAGCGACATGCGCATTGCCGATCTGAAGAAGCATCATCGGCATACTCATTGCTTCGATATACTGTATATTTTCACCTGACACCTGCGTAAACGGCTAATCTGAGGGAGAAATCGGTGACTCATTAATTGCTTATTCCTTCCACTCGTCGTATTATAATGAATTAATAGACATAAATTAATACCCCGGGCGATAATTTTGCGCTTAAGATAATCGAATTCATGAATAGCTGAGGAAAGAAAACGGAATAAAAATTCATTCAGTTTAATCGTTAAACCCTTTCAACGTGAATCGCACGTATACACTAACGTTCTTTACTTTTCTGTTAAAACGTAAAAAGTTTAATAAAAAAGGCGTTTTCAATAAAAAATTTTACAGGAGTGATAATCATAGAATTTTATTTTTGAGGTCAGTCCATTAACTGAAGAGAAAAAGGAAGAACTCGAAAACTATCATATCGAAGCTACTGAAGACATAAAAAGTCTAAACGAGATGCTCGAATCGAAGAAAGAATCACAGTTGAGTAAATCGCGCCACGAGAGCGAAGAAAGTGATAATGAGGAAAATTCTGAGCCGACCAAAGTCGATCAAATTATCTTTGAAGACTCTGATTTTCATTTAGGAACAAACAGTAAGAGCTCCTCAGTATCTCTAGACGAAGAAGTGCCTACGAAGCAACAAGCGCCATTGGACTTTTTATCTAACGTTCATAAAATCACTCCTTCACCGGAAATATCAATGGAATTAGGAAAGGAACGTACAGAGAAAGAGCCATTAAAAGAAAAATCTAATTAAAGGGAATAACATTCATAGTGAGAATTATTTATATTGATATCAGTAGTCTAGAATTTTGTGATACAACTTAAGATGAATTTAAGATTTTTATGTTAAGTATTCAAAATTGAATAACATTGTATATTGCATTATCGTTCTACAAAAATTACAGCATACATGAAACTTGTTACGCTTGAGTAAAATATATCGAGGACAGGATATGAAATAAAATGGAACTGTAAACTGTTTTACTCTGAACATATTTTTTAAACACATTGAAATTAAATCGTTAAAACTTTATTAGATTATAGACAATGTTTCTTTCGTTACAAAGAGTTTTCGGTATATTCTTCAGGGAACCAAAGATAGTGAATTCAAACTTATCACTGGGTATTTGAACTTTCCACCAATACGAATGCATGTTTGATAATTTCTTATCGATTTCCTTCCGCCTGATCGACTTCTCGTTTCGTAGAAACATCATTTTCTATGTCTATTCTGTATCCATTATCGATTACGTTTAAAATCAGCGTAACTGGTATTGCTTTAAGTCTGTTACCTTTGGGCAATTTTGGTGTCAGTTTTATATTTTGCAATCTGTGTTGGTCAATTTTTATATCGAGATATGATCGTCGATCTTGAAGAAATCTTTCGCTCGACAGGATGAAAGTATTATTTCCAAATGTACAAGCGAAAGCTGGTAAATTCTGCTGGACATCTGGTATATAAACATCTCGGATTCCTCGACAGTGAACATTCGGTGATTTCATCTGTATTTCCGACGAGTTCTGGTTGTCTTCATTCCGTTTACCAAAATTAGAATGGACTTCTTCTTTGTCTCTTCTTTCTTCGTTGATTTTCGAATTTCCAGTCTCCTTAGATACTCCATCGAAGATATTCGACTTGAAACTACGATCCATCGCAGTTTCGTTATCTAAAGTAGCGACTTGAACTTTAGCAATTTTCGACAAAGAGAAGATCAAACATAATTCTCTGCTTTCATACGGGCACAGTTTATTTTCACTTAATGTTGCAGGTTGCTTCTTAGAATTATAGTCTATCACTCTTTCACTTAAGCGTTCACTCCTGCTTGCGTTATTAGTGAGATTTTCATTCCCATATCGGTGTCGAGTCTTCGATGCACTATTCATAGTATCAGTTCGATCAATATTACTTTCGATGGCCTTGTTATCACCGAATGAAGCAAAGTTTGATATTAGAATCATAAACAATAATTTCCGGAACATTTTTGCGATGTTGTGGGACTGTTGTTCTTTTTTCCTTCACGTAACTTGGAACGAAGAGAAGCAGCCCCTGGCACGTCAGACACTGACCGCACCGGAAAAAACAATGTGAACGCGAAACCAAGCAAGGTGCACGGGGACTGAAGATTGGACCGTTGCGTATACCGGTTTCATTTCGTGTGCGCTGACCTTATCTCCTGTGTGGACATTGTTCGAATACCACAGAGTTCCAATCTTTTGAAGAATCTGGGCTTGACTTTGGCCCCGATTTCCAGCAAGGGATGTTTCACCGTCGGCAATAATTTCGTTCTATGTGTAGAAATAATTGTATAGACTTTGGATAAAAAAATATATTTTGACAAATAAATTATGACAAATATTCTTTATTTTTTAAGTAATAGGATATATACTTCTCTATTTTTTAGCAAGAATGTTCACACTGTTTCACACACATTTATTAGAAAAATATAAACATTACATATTATTTGTACATCAAATTTAAGTACAGGAGCTTTATAAATATAGACTCCAAATCAGGATAATGAATGAGTTATTTCATATTAGAAATATTAAAGACAATAAAACTTGTCGACCTTGAATCTTATATTGTAAAATGTGTCACTTAATTATTAAAAATTTGTCATTGGTGTACGTAATAAATAAATTGGCATATAAATCGTAGCTATACACCAGATATAAAAGATTTTGGACATACATATATTAAATACAGATATCTTAGTGTTAGTAAATCACGAACATACTCACGAAAGTAGCAAATTTTCTTAAATTAATCAATGTTATATATTTTCATAATTTTAAGATCAAACGATTCTCATTTCTCAATTTCAAATCTTTACCACATCAGCGCACGCGTACATTCCTAACACTACCCAACCTGTCTGATTGTGAGAGTAGTCTTACAATCGATGTGATGTCAACATAACGTGTGTGTAAACTGTAAGGCGTGCTTTTTAAATCGGACATATTAAAAGACATGTGCATATTTTATTGTTATTTCTACATCGGTGGCGTTATGCTCTAATTTTACTTTATTATTGAGTAAGAAACACAATTATCTCGAAATAATTTGTCGATTTGTATAATCGCGATTCCATTTTTAAATTATTCCAACAATATTTCTGCTGACGAGTACGAATAAAATTAAATTTGCTAAACTAATTAGTGTCTAAAATCGTAACAGAAATCGAGAATAAACATTAGCCGAAGTGTATCTAACCTTAAAATTCACTGATATTTCTTTGTTATCTCAGCTATTGGTATAAAAGTGTGAGAGGAACCGAAATAATGGCTGGCCAGCAACATCCATTTCCATCTGGATTTCCAAGTGTCCAACAATCTGCAATGAGGACACAATTTGGAGGAGGCCAAATGGTGTCTGGCTTAATGGCTCAACAACAAGGTATCACATATGTTCTTTCAAGATGCTAACTGTAGATTGATTAAACGTTTATAAAACGAAGTAATATCAAGACACTAATTTTTAATAGGTATGGTGGGTCAACAACAATTTGGAGTTGGTGTAGGAGTCGGAGTTGGAGTAGGTGGAGTAGGCACAAATACTATGGGGATGCCAAGTGCTCAACAAGTATTGGCACAACAGCAACAACAACAGTCAGTTGCGATGCAACAACAAGTACAGCAGATGCAGCAGCAACAATTGCAGTTGCAACAGCAGCAGCAAGCAGGAATGGTGCAACAGAACAATCAAACGAGTAACCAAGCTACAACACCACAAACTCCTGTGCCACCAACACAACCACCATCTCAACAACAGCAGCAACAGAACAAAGAATTTAATACTGCTAGCCTGTGCAGATTTGGTCAAGAAACCGTGCAAGACATTGTCAGCCGCACTTTAGAAGTTTTCCAAACATTGAGAGTCCTTCAGCCTCCTAATGGTACTTACAACCTTAATAATTAGCCATTCCCTTTTTATTTTTAATTAAATTACGAATTACAATTTCAGGTATGGCACAAGGAGCAAGTTTAGCTAACGAAAAGAAGAATAAAGTACAAGACCAACTAAGGACACTCAAGTTACTATTTAGACGTTTAAGACTGATTTATGAGAAATGCAATGAAAATTGCCAGCTTCAGGGTATGGAATATACGCACATAGAAAGTCTGATTCCTTTAAAAGAGGAGTGGGACATGAAATCTGATGAGAAAAAGACATCCGAAGCTTACAGACTTGCTTGTGAAGAAAGTAAAGAAATTATGGAGGTGAGTGTAGATTTTAAATAGTTCATCATCATGGAGGTATGTGTAGATTTTAAAAAATTCAGCATTAAAATACTATACTATTTTTCAGCAAGTGGTACTAAAGAATAGGCATCTAAAGGAAATCATCGATCATTTGAGACGCATCATCTCAGAAATAAATACGATGTTGAATATGCGTAGATCTTAATTGAAAAATGTACATAAATATTTATATAAGTTATTAAGACACGTTTGAAAATAAATATATTCTTTCCTATTTAATGTCACTACCACTTACCTCTGCTCCGACGATTTATTGTGTCGCATTAATATCGTTCACAGTCAAGTGAATAATATCACTCGTTCTTAGAATAGCTTCTGGAATTATGCCTAATGGTGTTTCCAAATTTCGTACGTAGACCTCCAAACAGTCGACGTCGCATCCTCGAAATTCCGCCGAAACTCGTGTATTTTCATACAGATGAAAGTCTGCTTGCTTCCCTGTAACAATTTATAATAACGTGAGATAGTTCATATATAATTGCTACTTTTACTATCAGATATATGTGTTTCAACAAATGTACTGAGAGAATTTTTAATTAACATTTCAATTCGAAATTGTATCTCATATTCGCGCATGGAGTTAAATATTTCTGAAACCAGCGCCAGGTTTGATTAACTTAATTGCATTAAATTATCATCTAACGTTATTAAGATAAACAATTTATGTACTGAATTCCTTAATTATTCTCAAAGTAAGTGTGAAGCTACTCGTATAGAGAATGATAGACGACAAAAGGAATAGGTTCTAAAAAGAAAATTTCCTACCAACGATTCCCGTAATTACACGTAGAAATCGTTCACGCAAAAATGCACGTGCTTCTTGTTTCTCAGGGGTCGCGAAATCTTCGGTAACGTTATTTTCATTCAATTGTACGTTGTCCTCAACAGTAGCCGTCATTTTATCAGAATATTTGTTGACATGAAAAAACACGCTTTCCTTCTACAGCGGAAGCGTAACGGCACTGTGTATAGATAGAGCGTCGCTGACAAGCCCGGCAAATTTGAAAACTGAAATGCAGCATTACATTTCTATGCATAATTCAAAACGAATCTTATTAGAATTAAATAAACGTTCTTATTCGAATAATTAGGACACTGGCAATTGGATTTAATTAAAATTTCTATGCTGATACGTGTATTGAAATCTAGGAGAATCACACGTTTGGCAAACATAATAGAAACCCACATAGCCTAATGAGGAAGCTTAGATTGACGCAATTAACATATTTTCGACGATATCTAAAAAACACACTTTCACGTGACAGAATATGAGGGCGACCCGCAGGCTTTGAATTTTTTCAAGTAGCTCTCTCAGTTTCTCTTCATTATTGTTCTGAGCATTGTGCAGCAACAATGAATTTCTTCGCTTTCGTGCTCTTAACTATCGGTATTAGCTGCGGTAGTGAGTATTTGTGTAATCCAATATTTAAGAAAATGAACTCCTTCTTGATGACGTTGCGTAATCATTATGATTCATGTAGGATTATGTTGTAAAGTTGCAGCAACGGGTAGTTCGCAAATGATTCGCAAGTTATTACAAGCAACGAAGTCTGATGAGATTCAATCGCCGCAGGAAGAAACGTCTAATATGGATTTAATTTTGAAGCGGAGCTCGGATAATTTTCAAGAATTAGAAAAAATCGCAAATACACAAAGTGATTCTTCGTTGAACAGAAAGTCGAAAATTTTGAAGAGCTTAGCGTTTCTGGCTGGTTTGAGTGTCGGTGATTTGGCCGGTGCAGCATCGGCGGATGTAAAAGCTTATACTAAACTTCCACTGGACATACACCCCGGTGTCCCCAGAATTCCACCTCAATTCGCTGCAATTTACAATCCCTATCCTTACGTCATGCATCCTTTCGTACTCGCCACTCCTTTCGGATTCTATTCGCCGTTGGATCCCCTGCGATTCGCAGTGCAAAATAGCTTGATAAAAAATCCGCTGCCATCCAACGCTTTTGACAATGCCAAGCCGACGACGATGACTGAGATTAACGACGAGTACGTGGATGAAGCCAAGAAAGTCGAAGATATCAAGATTAATGAGGATAAGGAGAGAAACGAAAAGAACGCGGAAGAGAAGGTAAGAATTTGTTGAACCGAATGAGCAGAAATTAGAGCGGAAAATTGCACGTTTCATTTTGCATTGCGCTTGAAATTAGTATAATCACAATATAAGTTTGCAAAGCTGTAAATGCTTGAGTCTTGGTACTCCGATCTTAGTAACTCTCTAAATTATTAATATTTATTTTGGTTTTTGTCGACAGGCGCCTGGCACCGGTTGCATTCTACATAAAGGAATGAGGAACGACGAAGATTCATTAAAAACACTAAATTTGCGAGCTGCAAATACAACAGATCCTGTCAATCAAACTGTAACGAATACAACTGTAATGCCTAATGCACAAAACCAAACTTCGATGAATAATTATACGTACCCACCATTTTTTTACGGTTATTACGATGGAAACCCGCAAAACGTGCACCACATTGAATTTACTACAGTAGCGTATGACCATAGATATCATGATTATGAACCTATTAATTATAACTTACCTTCCTATAACAAGCCAGTAAATTTTTATCCGGATGAACGATACAACTATTATCCGTTTTCATCTGCTGACCCTTACGTGCCGAGTCATTATCATCAAGACCAAATTCCTGAATACCATTCTAACGACTACAAAAGATTTTTCTACAATTCTGATAACGCACCATCGTTTACCAACACTGATTTCAGACCCGTGGCGTAACCGTTGTAACGTGTCCATTGTGCAATTATGTAAAACATGTTCCTGATAGATAAAATAAATGAGCGTTTTTACTGATGGATCGTGCAAACTTTATTATTACATAATATACTTTTCACATTTAGAAATATGTAAAAAGCCGTACTTCCTATTTATCGCTTATGACGTTTGTAAATAATTATGTTCTTCAAATATCAGATACTATAACGATGTTGATGTATAAGACGTTCAGTAGGACAGTTATAGTTCCATATTACTTCAGCAGATTGTAGTTCGCATCACAGTAGTAAATACGTCTTCAAGAAGTTCAGAGAATACTGTATTGTAAACGGTTAAAGATGTTTCCACTGATACTTTTCAATATAGTATTCACATTTAATCGCTATATATTAGCAGGTGAGTATTGAGATGTCTATTATAAGTATTATAATATTTCAATGTGAATGTACACGTATATTTCATAATATTTTATTGACGATAATTTGTAAATTGTTCGTTTCATAGAAATACAGCCAGCAATAGATGATGATGGAGTCAACGAGCCATTCCAAGGACTAATGACATTTTCTCCAATGTTAGATAAGAAAATTAATGACACTTTCACGATATTGAACGATCTAGCAAATTATAAAAGGGCCATTAATCAGGTCTCCGAGTATTTTTCATCTACTGATAAAGATGACAGAAATATAGTGGCGAAAGTCAATAAATTGAATTCAGTTGAAGGATTAAGAGCAATATCAGGAAGTGAAGATGATGGATTACAATTGTTTAATAAAGACTTAATTAAGAGGAGTGCAGCTTATGGAATCGGTGACAGGAAAAGGAATATTCCAAAGAAGAAACAGAAAAAAATTAAAATCTTGGGACGTTTGTTAATTAAAAATAACAATGATGAAGCTACTCAGGACGATTGTGACGAAGAGGATGAAGACGCGAATGGGGAGGATTCTCAAAACGATGATAATCCAAATATCATGGAGTTAATCGCTTTTAAGCCCCGACGTAAATCGAATACGAACCGTACTCGTAAAGTAAAATTTAATTGAAAATGACAAATGTTAATGACTTTATCTATTTGTAAAGTATGATGAAAATACTCGTGGTTTATAAATTATACAACTTCCAATTTAAAATAAACACGCAAATAGATAGTGCAATGTATATAGATTTTGTTGGCATTTAATACAAACGTCTATTCCTCGGTGACGCAATTTATAAATTAAACGAATGTGCGCATGGCTGTTTTTTGAAAAGTATAGTTTGTTTGGACAATTGGATCCCGGATTGCACAGTTGTTTCGGGTATCTTTTACAACCGGCACTAAAAGAAAAATTATCGTAATCTCGTGAGTTAGCATCGAGTGTGAACCTTAACAAGAAAGAGATACGAATCGCAATTCTTTTTTAATTGTCTATTAATCAACGAACTCTTCCGTGAGAGCCGACCAATCGGACAACTTTGCTCACAGGGAAGAAACCTGTTTTATTTTCGGACGAGTTTGGAGGGCTGGGCTCCTCGTCTATTTCGAGAAGGCTGCCTCTGCTGGTATTGTGTTTCTAAAGACGCGAATACTTTGCAGCTTTTACGAACAGTTCTCTAAGAAGAAAATTTTTCTCTATCCATACTCACTCAACTAATAAAACGATACTCACTTACCTAAAGCTATTTTTCACTGTATTTAATTGTAAATTACGTTTTTCATATTCATTACACGTTTTCGAGAATTCAGCTAAAGAAATATTCGTCAACAATTTCAAAACATCAAAGAGTTAACAGAGATCTTGAAGTTCTACTGAGATGATCTAAATGGATCACTTGTGGTAAAACAAGTATTTCTCAAAATTCAATGATTTCCTTAATTAGATATTATATTTTTCGTATTTCGTGAACGAGAATCATGGATACATACTTATTCCAAAACGTAATGTATACGTAAGGGGTGAAGCCCAGGCAGCGTTGACAGTGTTGCGTGCACGATTATACAATAAGCAAATAGGAAACGATCAACTTCCTTCACGAGAGCGTTATCGCTTTTTTCAAGGGATATCACGACAATGTGCTAATGAATGTGTGTAGTTCCTTAATGGAACAGATCGTTATCTATTAGAAGTTAGCAAGCAGTCACTTCTTCTTTCAAGATGCCGTCTTACTGTATTTTAAGCTGATGCATTTCTGCGTGCAGCGTCCAGTAGGTTGTCACGAAGGTATCTATGCGATCAGATTAGAGCGTGTCTCTTTAAGTCTAAATATATACCGGGTGTCAGGGTTGAACGCCCTGGGATTTCCGGTCTCCAACGGTGCGCACTTTGATTTTCCGTTTTTTTTTTTTAATCTTTTTACTCTACTTTCGGTACGAGCACTTACGCCCTTTTCATCTCGTTGTCGCACAGTTCCTCCCATCCCCGTCTCTCCTCTACGCCTCTCACGCTTTTTTTTCACGCGAAACCTAATAGCCTTGCATCCTCTAGGACACTCCAGGACTATTTCCTGCGCGTCGGACAAACCGGATGAGAAACCGCAAATGTAAAACCCCACAGAGCGTTTTAATAAAACGATAAGCGAACGTTGCTACCGTATACGTAACGATAGCAGAGCAGAACATTTTCAAAATGAACATACGATCAATGGTACACCTTTCATTAATCTTGATCGAAATCAAATACCTCTGAAACGTTAGAATGTACTGTTATCGAACAATCTTTCGCAGCAATGATCTATTGGGTCGAGACCAGTAGCGACTAGTGAGACGAAATTGAAGAACGTCCATTGGAACGTGAGATAATACGATCTCATCAAAATTTGTCAAAGAAGCATCCTTATTCGCGGACAATGGAAGCGTCGGTTCATCCTCCCTTGGGGTACAGGCGCGCGTCTCGTCCTTTAAGGGTGCGCCTCATCAAGTATGCAGCGTAGCGGAGCAAGTATAAATATCTACGTACGAAAAATACGCGTTTTGGACGTATGTACAACGCGTCCTGTACTTGGCGCACATGCACAGAGAAAAAGAAGTGGTTCCGTTCTGTGTGGTAAATGCACCACGCTCGGGTAAGAACCCCGGTCCTCGGCCTCGTGCGTATATGGGGGACGACAGAGAGAAGAGAGACAGCTGTGGGGCAGCTGGCAGCGCGTGCCACGAACCTATGGGGTCTCCTCCGAACACAGACGACGATGATATCCTATACTTCGTGACACACGTAGCTCACGGCAGGTTTCGAACAATGTGTCTAACAGAGGTTGCCGATCGTTCAGAATCGAAGAAGAGATTGGCCAAATTATCTTCACCGCGATTGTCCACTAGCTCGTCTCCTTCTAAGAGTACCACTTATGGTCGCCTCATTATCATTGTTACGTATGCTCCATGTTATATATGCACGTTACTCAAGAGCTATTCAAATTATTAGGGATCTGTTTTCACCATTGATTAAATAATATGTCAATACGATTATAAGAACAGAACTTGACCTGCGATGGAACTGGGATAAAATACAATGTGACAAATTATGAGCAATATAGTATAAGTTGTGAACGATAAGGAAATGTGGAAACAGATCAGATTTTATACGTTAAGTTCAAATTTCATTCTATTTTGTAAGCTACCTCGCGTGTGACACTGAAATTAGATAGTTCAATAATGTTACTAGCAACGTTCCCTATTCTTTATTCGTTCTATACGTTTCTGAATAACACAGATAAGGTACGAAACATTGTGCGAGATTGAACGGGACGTTGGGCTTCCTTGAAAGTTTTTCACCCGCTCTAAAGAAAAGAGATCAGCGGGTTCAAAGCCTTCGGGGGAGCGTTTCAGCCTAGTGAACATCTGCCGTCGTCTACAACGATAATAATTCGAACAGCTGATACTCCTCGACATACCTTGTCTCGTGGATCCTGTAGGATCCGTTTCAGGGTTTCGAAGTTTGAAAATGTGCCTCTGCCACATTATCCTCGAATTTCCAGAGTTAAAACAGAAACGATCAGACAAATATTTCTTATTTAGTTATTTAATTACTTGTTCTATTAATTCTTTTTCCAGGACATGAGAATCGTATTAAATCATCCAAAGATAAACGAGTTATTTCGTTTTATTTATAAGTCAACAAGAAAGACGAGTGGAACTCTATTTACCTAGTTTTTATATAACAGAAATATATTCCAGACCAATTTCAAATATGTATTATTGAATTTGATTGAGGACATAATTAGCAATATTTATTATCCTTTCGCGACGCAGAGGATTTGTCAATTCGTCGCCACTGGTCGATTTTGCTTTTTGTATTTCATCGGTGGCTCGCCCGGCCGTCGTTAAGCTACGTTACTGGTAACAGAAATTGGTGGGGGTTTCGAGTGAACCAATGAAAAGAGAAATCGTCGGAGGACCCGAAGAACTGGCGCGCTGTAAGGTAACTGCAAACTTGAAGGCAGTTCAGCAGTACTCGCACGTGGGCTTTCGTTCGTGTCGGATGTGCGCGCATAAAATGAGGCAGTAGCTAACAATCGGGCACCCGTACACGATACCAACACCGTTACTACATAAGTAGTGTCGACAACAGTGTTGCCCGTTTCAATTGTTACTGCGGATTGAACGTGTTCAGTCCACGACTAAGAAAGAAACCGAGAATTGAAATTTTCGACGCGATTCTGTGGTAATGAAGTAAAATTTCACCGTGACCCGAACGGCTGTTTGAACCTGTGCGCTGTTAATTGGTCTGCGACGTCAGTTTTATCGCCGAAATATTAATCTCGCCTGCCAGGAGGATAGCCACGTTATTGGTGTTCATCTTTTCACGGTGTTGTCCTCTTTCTCGTTGGGATTAAACGGCAACTTGGTGAAATCGAACGGTGCTCCAAAAGATTGGAGGTACGTATTGAAATTTTCCTTTGTCAAGTTGTTTGTCACGTTGTACTCAAACATATTTGGTGTTTTTTTTTTAGAATACATACAATAGGAATTTAAATGTTCTGTTTAACGTTCATTGTTTATAATAAACTTGTCTTACAAATCATTTGTTACATGTTGTATTGCACATATTACGAAAATCTGTTATGCATAGAACGTTCTAAATAGTTGAAGTCGATGTTGGTCGTACGAATGCTTGCTATTTTTGTATCATAGACGTGTTTCGTGAGAACATTGTAAAATTTGTTCGGGAAATATTGTTTATACAATGAACAAAAGTGTTTTCTGCGTGGCCATGTTGCGCGTTCGTGAACCGATCTGCTTATTCTCTCGGTTGCTCCTCTTTCACCCCCGTTGCAGCGGTTTCGTCGCGACAAAGGGGGTACACGACGTCGGGCACGTGTACTACAACGTTTATTAATAAACCTCGCCGTCGGCTCGACGATTTCTCTTTAGCAGAAGGCCTGGAAACGTGCGCAGGTGATTACAGCCGTCTGGCGTAAATGAACGGAGAACTATTATCTTTCCTTTCGTATTTTTTTACTAATTTTCCGGTGTATTACTCCGACGTTAGACAATACTTTTCTTACAGCTGTTCATAATTCGTTGTCACTGATAATGTCATCGGCGAATGAATAATTTGTAATTATAATTAAGTCATAGCGCCAGGACTAAGATAATAATAGTTCTAGTTCAATATATAAATAATTATATATTGTTTATTGCGGTTCGATTTGGAGTGACACAAAGGACTTGTAACACTCAGTTTCAAGAGTTCCGTATCATAAAATTTTGTGTCCACGGTTTAGGTATAGCCAGCCACGCGTTTTCGAGAACTCTGGCCTTTGCGACTTTGGCCGAGAAGATATTTTAGTGTGTTTCGTCGTGGCAATCGGCCAGTGTCGAATAAACGAGGCTGCTCCGATCGGAACGCGATTATAGACTACCAAAACTATTCCTATGAAATGGTCCATAATTCCTATTATTGCATTCATAATTCCAGTTAAATTCGCAGTTACTATAAATGACTGCAATACATGAATTATCTATGATTTTTAATTTTTAAATAAATGTTCGTATTTTCACTAGTCTATAGGTACCGAAATTTCTAACGTGAAAAATGTTCCTTTCCTCGTATGAAATATGATGGTCATTTTCTAATAATCTAGCTTTGAAAACAATGTAGAATTGAACGTATTTACCCATGATACGTTTCAGTTGATTTACGAGACACCCGGCAGACCGTTGTCACCCTTTACAGCTGTTATAATCGTTACCGGTAGTGCCTGAGAGGTAGAAACTGTCTTTTATGATGCGCCTTACTATAGTAAAGTCCATTAGATGGAAAGTGTGCAAAACGGTACATGCTTTCAAGCACATCGACGAAGCGCCTTTTCGATTTCGTTTTGTAAAAGTTCGTTGAAACCCAATTTAGATAGGAGCTGATTTGTAGAAATCGCGAATCGTTGATAGGACTTTCAATGAAGTCGCTTTACTTGAGTGCGAAGATTCTTGTGCACTGAACCAAATGCAGAAACGTTCCCGTTTTAAATAACTTTCTAATTTTGAATATTCGTTGGATCGTGCATACGGTTGCTCTTCTTTCGAGATTTCTCTTAGCTTAGTTCTCGACGAAAAGAAATTCGTTACATTTCCAGTCGATTTTCTTGTTTCCGAAAATTTTTATACTTTCTTACGAATTGAAACAGCGAACGGCGGCGTAAGTAACGCGAATTCAGATAATCAACTGTGTCCAGAGTGACTGGAAATTGTCGGCTACTTAAATTATCATTTAATTTGTAGCGCATCCGGCAGGCAAGTTAGTGAAATCTTGGGATCGTAAAATCTGTGTAGCATTTATGAAACGCGCTCGCGGCAACGCGGTCGTTGCTTCCACGGTAGCTGAATTCAGAAAATCGGTCTTTATGCTCGACCAAACGTCCCTCAGTTACGCGATGCTGTTCTCTAGGATGAGGAAAGAACGATAAAGGCAAAAAGAGAGGAAAAAAGGAGAAAGAGCAACGGCGGTGGAGGAGGAACCCGATGGCAATACAACAATATGATTATACAGCGTGCTGCACCGGTTTTCTGCAGCAGCTGCTGTCGTTTTGGGGGATCCGACAGAAACAGACGAGGAAGGGCCCTTCGAATGGTGCACTGTCACGGGATGGTGCTGGTGTGGTAGTGACCGGCGAGAAAGACGGCTGGTGGGGTGGGACGAGGGGGGCTTTCGGAAGAGAACGCAGGGCCCACTTCGCAGGGTCTGGTCGTGCCTCTGCCCGGTGCGCGCGCTGTAGAGTGTGAGAAAGAAGGAACGGAGGAAAGAAGAAAAAATGCAAAAGAGAGGGACCCTTCTGTGTACCCTCTACCTTTACCTCCTCTCCTGCCCTATCCTCTTCCCTGCAGTATATTGCAGAAACCCGAAAGCCGAGCCGAACCGAAATGTACCCCAACTATACCTAGGCCAGGCAGTTTTACTCGTATCTGCCTCTTTCTCTTACTTCATGACGAGCAGTAACACTGCCTCCCTTTTCAGGCCGTTACCGAGCCTTGAATGGAGGTCAGGGTCCCTTCCTCTCTATTTCCTCTCGCCCTTTTCTTCTTCTACGAAGTACCTTTCCGCGTCCTTCTTCTCTTTCGACAATGCACCGACGGTGCCTGTTTCTTTTCTTGTTCCTGGTGGCTCTCGCCGGTTTTCCCCGGGCAGGCAGGGTTCCTCCGCGCAGCAAGGGGACTTTTATCTGTTCCCTTTATATTCACGAAGGAGTCATCGATTCGAGAGAATTGAGAGAAGAGGGTAGAACAGTTGTACCTCGGGAGTAGCGAGCTAAGAGAGGGAGAAACCGTTTATTCTTGTCTTTCTTTCTTCCCGAGTATGCACGGTGTTGTAGGATAGCAGCCGCACGCGGAATCTTTGTTGCATGCCTGTACGCGTGTAAATAAGTGTACACACGCGTGTTACCTACGGTTTCTGCGTTTCACGAAGATCATGCGGGACGACGCGATTCGTCGGAGGGTCGTGCATAACGAGTATTAAATTCTAAGTGCGTAGTCTTCTGCATTTTCCTTGTTCGCGTTCCACTCCGTTCGAGGGTGCTTTGATCTTCCCTTAAACATTTCGTATTGGCTAACATCGTCAGCCTTGAAACAATCATTTATCCCGTAATATTTAAACAATGCTCGTTAATTCATCGTCTGTGGATTTTTCACGAACAATTCCCACCACAAGTTTTAAGCGCAATGCAAAATTTATAAACAGATATCCAGATATCGTGGAAAGAAAATCTGTTTAGGAAACGAAGTCTTTTTGTTAATTTGTAACAAGATTAATAGTAGCGGTTGCTAACAATGTTGTACGCTTTTCGTTTTTTTGTAGACAACCAACATCAGCGGTGTTCTAAATGGTGCTAAGCCTGTGACGTGATTAACGTTGACCAAAGTACCGTAGAAGGTGTCAAAATTGAGCAAGTCGTCCTCCCGTCGTCCGGCGGTGATCTCGCCAAAATTTGGAGGATGTTGATGCCTGGTGCCGCTGGTCTCAGTGCCGTCGGTGCGGTAGGTGCTGCCGGGGCGCCAGCTCCGGACGAGCTGGTATCGGGCCTTGGCGCGTTAGCCGGCGCAACGCCCCAACAAAAGGATACAACTTGGACGAAATTGTTTGTGGGTGGTTTACCTTATCACACTACCGACAAAAGTCTTAGAGAACATTTCAACGTGTACGGCGACATCGAGGAAGCCGTGGTAATCACCGATAGGCAAACCGGGAAAAGTAGGGGATATGGTTTCGTAAGTACTCCTTGCATACTCGTGATTAAAACGAATTGGTATTTTTATATCCCGACATTTTTGTTAGTTTTCGTGATTGATAGTCGTTGCTGTGAGCTGCTTTAAGTTTGTGTATAGCTTAGAGTGAGTAGTTTAAGTACACTTTTGTCTGTACTCGTTATTTAGTGACTGTTAGAGTTTTACAATTAATGGCAGTTGTCTCTGTTGCAATGCGACATTGCGTCGGACGTTGGGAGCTAAACTGTCTCTCAATAAGAATGATCAATCCCCACATTTTTATCAATTTCGTATCTACGACGGTTTTGCCTTAGAGTTCTACAAGCTGTTGTTCGTTATGTGTATTGTTCCCTAGAACGAACGCGTTAACCAAGGAAAGATAGTCGTGTACGTAATTCATTATGATAACGTAACCAGTTAGTTCAGTTCTACCGAAAAGACGTGTTTTGTTCACTTCCCGTATGCCAGTGATGCTCTTTCTTCCGTGAAGGCGTACTACTTCGTTATCAGTTTTCCTTATTATCACACGTACATAACTTGCGCTCAAGGATAATATGGAAATACATGTATACGTCAACGTCCTTATTACCCGCTAAAGCGAAATTCTGTTTTAAAAATGACCGTTGCCCGTAGCAATGATTATCGTTACACGTGAAACCAACTGGCGAACGTAAATTATGGGGGCTGCGGTGTTCCTGATCCTCGAAATTAATTCACGAGTTTAGATTCCTATCAGGTTTAAATGGTTTTCGATATTAAGTTAAAGATTGTACGTGTCATCGACGAAATTTTGACTAAACTTTAAATTCTGTTCATTTAATAATTTACAAAGTGAGGAAGATAAGTTAGAATTCGATGGTACGGAAACAAAGAAAATGTACAAGGAATTTTAAACGGGAAGACAATATAAAGCAGGCGGCACTAACAAGCCGAATTACCCAGAACGCCATACCTGGGCGTTGGGGTGCACGAACCGCACAAGGGTCTTGTGTACCGTTACTCGGGACAAGGGGACAGGGCTGCGAGATCCAGGTGAAGCGGAAGGATTAGTCGAATAATCGATCGGATCTGCACGCAGGTGATCATGGGAGACAGGCTAGCAGCAGAGCGGGCTTGTAAAGATCCGAACCCTATAATCGACGGACGTAAAGCTAATGTGAACTTGGCGATTCTTGGAGCAAAACCTAGAGGTACTCTACAAACGCGTAAGTTTTACTACGCGATTTGCAATTTTTTCATTGAATGAGTGTCGATCGCATGAATTATGTGCAGGCAGGGTTAGCTAGACGGTGTGTTTGATCCTTCGTCGTTTGAATGATTTGTGCTTTTGTTCTTGTATTCGCGTTTAACTAGTACTGATACTCCAGTACCCAATTACTTCCCTCACTGATTTTAGTCATGCGTGTTTGATAATCGTAGATTGCTTTAGTTCAAAAGTTATCTGCAAATACGGGATTAAAATTACTTATTTTTTGCAATGGCGTGATTGACTTCCTGGAACGAATATTGCGATACTACACTTTACTGCTTGCATTCTAATAATAATATACACATCTCGTACTCCGTATTTCAAAAGTTTGTCTCGCAACATCAGAAGATTTGCAAGAATAGATGTCATTTCTAATCTTTCGGTTGATTCTCGCGCGTCATTGTCACGGGTTTTACGTTGTTGAAACAAAGCCAAATCAGCAAATCCCATTCGTCGCAGTAACGGATAATATAATTCTTGGACGGAGAGCACAGTAATTCTTCAGTGTCGAGGACGTACGTCTGCGTATCTCGGATGAAAAATTATAGCAGAGATTCTCCTAATGAGACATTTCACTTGGATATCATTAAAGTAAATCGCAATTTTCGTTTAACGAACAAGAATAGAGTTCCGCTTGAATTCTTACAATTTATACTGACAGCTCTGGCTGAACTAGCTATTTTGCTCTTTATTCCAGTATTTATATTTGCAAGCTTTCGAACAGACGAAGGACGGATTTATAAACGTCATTTGAGCAAATCAAAAAGCATCTCCTGAGACACTTTCTCGAACCCGTGCGATGGCTCCCGGCCAACATTGCTTGGCGCTTCGGCACCTAAGTCTAAAATTGCCTTAACCCGACTGTCGGTATCCACCTTTGTTTTGTTTTCCCTTCTAAACGCAAAACTCATTCCTAACTTCGAACCGGTTTACGATTCTTGTAATGCCAAATTAAGTGTGGAATATTTATCTGAAATTAATCAAAGCTTTTTCCTATAATAATTAATCAATTTACATATGAGTTATTTAAAGAGTCGTATCGCTTGTTCTACATTCTTCAATTAAATCATACTGCTATATGATTAAAAAAGTGAAGTATTAATACAATGAACATTAAAGTAACTTCTACCTAACTCATATGTATATTAATGCATGTCCCTTTTCTGGTGTGTGGTACTGTGTTTGGTATTTTTATATTAAGATAAATCTGAACACGATCGTTAAAACGTATATATTTTATAATAGAATATTTTGAACTTCGTTTCATTTAATATAAAATGTAAATGCATATAGTTTCTCATATAAGCGATCTAGTAAAATCATTTTGGAAGTATAAATATATTCATGTTTGCTGGTAGGGAATCGTTTTATTACAAGAACGAAAAATGTAGCCGCGTCTAGACTAGCTAGGGGAAGACGCATTTGCAAAGAACAGGATGTTCAATTTATACGAAAACGGGTGTTCGAGTTCAGGGCTGGCCATTACAAACATAAATAGGATTAACTCCGAATTGTTTATGATTTCAGCATTCCCGTTTGCCGCCAGCATCCGAGCTGGATATCCGACAGTTCTACCCGGCCAATATGGGTGAGTCTACGTTACTACGTTGATGTGATTTGCCGAAATAATACCTATACATTAAGAACATACATGTTGTATTATCGTAGTTGCTAAAACTTAGCGTGTAAGTCAAGAGGAGACCTCGTTAGATTATCCACGTTACGAAAACTCGAATCGCATTTGTCAGTCGCGTCGTTTATAAAACCAATGCGAAAGTAGAAACCAACGAGTATTGGGTTTTGTGTAGTTAGCGTAATACCGCATACATTTTTTGTCACTTCGAACATCTTTTTTCAAAATGATATTAAATAATGTCGTGTTTCATTGCAAACTTAAGGGAAACCGAGAGAATTCTCTAATTTTTTTTTTACGACTTTACGAGAAAAGACGATTTTAGGGGGAAAGAAAACAGGAAAAAGGTCGGTAGAAATAAGTTGTAGAAGCATTTCGAGAACCGAGAACAAAGGTACTCGTTTTTTACGGCTTCGGTTTTGACAATTATTGTGAACACTCTTTTAAAAGCAGACTATATATAACGTTTCAGCATCCTGACGCACACATGCGCGTAAGGGAGCAAGCAGAGAATTCCCTTTTCGAGATCCTTGAGAGCGCCAAGGGCCGTTCTAAGGAGTACGAATGTAAAACAAATATACTGAATCTATCTACTGTAACGAAAGACGAACAGAAAGAGAGACACGAATGTGAATGTCGTGCGAGCAAAAAAACGTAAAATAGAAAAGGAGGGCAGATGATAATTGAAAATCTGAGATCAGTCAGAGGGAGGGAGAGAGAGTGAACGCGGCACACGCACACTGTCGATCGGAAGCCATGAGTACCCACGAATTTGTTTCAAGTTTCAACCGAATGTCAAAACTGACTTCCGAGGATCGGCCTCTTCTTCTGCTACTGTATTTTTTTGGTTGTGTTTTTTGTTTCTTCTTTCTTGATGAGGTTGACGTGAAGTGATATGATAATTGATTGCGGTTGCTGAGAGATTTGTTTGTTTACTGGTTTTGACTTTTTTGGTCTTTACTCTTTTACACTCTTTTTCTTAATCAACATAATCACAATAATCGTAATAATATTAATATTAATATATTAATTATAATCACGGTAACGTTATTTATCTGATCTTAATCGGAATAATTGTCTGATTAATTCTCGTAATACTGTTAATCTTAATGGACGAGCTAATAACGATGAGGCTACGTTCACGTGTTAAAATCCAAACATTCTATGTAACAATCGCTGTTAAATGTTGCCAAACTGTTCACCAGTTTCCAACATTTATTAGCCAAAAAATGTTGCCTTAATTTTTAGATAGATTCTCTTATTGTTATAAATTTCTCGGTTTAATTTTTATACCACGTGTCTTTCATTAAACATCTTTCAAAATTTAAATCCGCGTGCACTCTTTTCGTTTTTCTTTTTCATTTTAATTTGCCTTTGGTGACGGGTCTTTGTTAACATCGAGAAAATTAATATTAACAAAGGTCGCGGTAGCTTCATTTTTATCATCCTCATAACGTTAGACAGATAGATGTTAATTATTTTATCGCGTTGGCTAATCTTCATTTGTCCCTTCGACATTGTTTAATAATTAATTCCGTGGGAAACGGGTGTAATGTTCATTTTTCGAATGAATCCTTCGGTTATTGGGAAAGCGAAGAAAGAGGAGAGAAAGCAACAAAGCAGCGAGGAGAAGAGATTAACCATGTGCGGTAGAGTTTCGTTGAATTATGAACGATACGGCGATTCTTCGAAGCGGTGGATCTCCCGTATTTTTCGCCGGAAATCGACCCGCACCGCACCACCGCGAAACACGACAACGTTCATTAATTTTTCATCGTGCCAATCGATTTTATCGCGGTTTACCTCGTTTAGCCAAGTCAGATTCTTCGGCGTGGCACAGAAATTCGTCGGCGTATCGAGCAATAGGTATCGAATCTGCAATCCATTTCCGACAAAAAGGGAACGGAACTGAAAACACGTTCACTCCTGTTTCGTTAACGAAATTACCGTAAATTATCTTTCGTCGCCAGAAATTGGACATTTTTTTTTAGAGTTCTCGATCATAAAAGGGGGAAAGTATTCGTACTAACGCATCTACTATATCACTTTGATGTATGGATGGATTTTGTTTAGATCAAACGGAGCTTTCGTCGAGTGTACAGGCTCCGCTAACCATCATAATATTAATAACCTTGTGTGTGTGGTGAAAGCTTACACTACACTTGGTGTCGCTATTGGTGTTGTATTTTGTTGGTGTTGTACGTGGTGGTTTTTTGAATTTTAATATAACACGGTGTGTACCGTCTGTCAATTCAGAAAGTTTAAAGAAAGTATTCAAACCATCAATTCTCCTGTTAAAAATATCCGATGTTACAATAATGAAATGGTCGACTATTTCTGTGTAACAATTTTTACATCTTAGCGTCTTGTTCGGGACCACGTTAGATCTTTTCTTCGTTGAAACGTGATACCGATAAATTGGAAACAAATGTTGCCCAAATCAGAAGACAGCGGGAGGCAACCCAACTTTTTTTGGCTCATAAAAAACTCTGACGGTTTCTAGAAATTTAGGAAAAAATTTGGTACAAATGCAAGGCTGACTGGTTTCTTAACATTTCTACTACGACGAATATTAAAACTGTGACGCTGGGACGTACGAATGAAATATTAAAAAAATGGAATTGTATTATCCAATGCAAAACGAAACATTATATTTAAATAAGTCTATATTATTATTATCTCGTTCTGATTAACACGAAAGCCGAGTAGGAAATCATTTAAATCGGTCGGATTATCGTAAATCCGGTATTGCGAGATAGCACGTGTCCTCGAATTAGCGAGACGTGGGTGGAAAAGTGAAATTTAACACCGCCCAGGAAGACGCTTTGTGCGTCGGGGTGGGTTTTCTCGGTGCTAGTAAATTCGTAGTGTCGTAAGCTATGACAACCAAACGCCGCCGTCGCCGTCGCCGTCGTCGTCGTCGTCGTTGACGGCGACACGCCTCGCATCTCTCGGCTCGCACATCTTGGAGGTTCTGGCGTTGGTCCAATCTTTATTTAGATCCACCTGTCCCCCGTGTCAGCTTCTATGTTTGAGCCATTCCCTCGAGGGCTCCTACGGGAGGACTTTTTAACAAGAAATTAAAGCTGCTCCTTCCCTCCTCGAACCGAACTTCTATTCTGACGTTTTCCTAAACGTCAGTAAATCGTGATTTCTCACGCATTCTCGGAACTTTCATTGCCTTGGCAGATACATTATACTTCGAGGTATTAATATGACGCGAGATATTTCGAATTCATTTTAGGTCACAATAATAAAATTGAACGTAGCCGTGCGGGCAGTGTTACTATCTTTATCAGAAATATCCAGGAGTTTGTCACAGTGGAAGTACATATTGCTTTTGGAAAGGAGGTTCATAGTCGGCGCTCCGCGCAGAACGTCTGTTTCTATTTTCATTGTCGATGCTACCATTCACCTGTCGCTGTCACTCACTCGACGAGGCCCATATTCCATACGCCGTTTCACGAGAGGCAAACATTATTCAAGCTTCCAGGCTTTTATTAATTGCGCAGCCGCGGGATATAATCGAAATATTCAACGTCATCGTAAAACAAATCCACCTGAATGTACCGCGTTTTTACACGTACGTTCGCCTGGTCGCGCGATACGTCGTGCTCGCAGAACCATTATTTTTCGCGCGCTCAGTAAAGTTTATTGTCTCGAACGCGGCCATGGACGAGTAATGATGCGCCTACTAAAAGATAAATTTCTATTTTTGTTACTCTACGTTTTACCAAAGCCGTTCTTTTTTCTTATACAACTTAGACTGACGACGGATGATCTACCATTCTAACAAAAAATGGTTCTGATAAATTGATATCAAATTTGATCATTGCTAATTATATACACTATATATATTTATTAATTCACTTTCGGGCTACAATCTTATTCTATCTTATACTATCTTAATTTACATTACTCTAGTGTAGTATGTTGGCACCCTACGTACGGGTGACTCAAGGGATTCCAGACCCACTTCGCACGCACACATGGAAAATACATAACTTCAAATAGCAGCGATACATAGAAAGCACTAAAGATAAAGAGAGAGAGAGAGAGAATGTGTTACATTTTTTATGTATGCGTGTGAAGCGAGTCAGAAATCTAATGAGCTATTTTTTAAATCGAATCTCTTCTGGCGATGTTTCTCCTTCGCCTTTTTCTTATTCTTTTTTTCATTTTATTTTCATATATCGCTTTTTGTAATGTCTTTTTCTTGTCTTTCTTATCCGTTTCCTAATGCCTTTCTATCTGTCTTATATCTTACATTTCAGACCTCCTTTACTGGTTTCCTTATTTTTTTTCTCTGCTGTATCACCCCATCCCTAATTCTTATCCATTCCCTCGTCCACCCTGTCGTTTCAACCAATCATATGCAATTTATAAAAGAAAGAGCAAAATCAACTTCTTTTTGATATCTATGCCGAAAAGTTTTTTTTCAAAATTAGTAAGTTCTGAATAAGGAACTCACTAAATATCTACGTGTGGTTTATTTGAAAAATAATAGAAGGGATAGTGAGGTTCGCCGTTCTTCTATATTATAAGAGGGTCAACGACACTCTTATATCTTGAGTATGCGTTTACTATTGCTCTCGATGCTCCACTTTTCTCGACCTTGGATTCTTCTGTTCTAACTGTCCGAATTAGTTTGATCGAAATAAAGAAACGATTAAATCGCCGGGAGGAGTCACCCACGCATTCACCATTGGTCTGTTCTGCTTCCCAAGGATTGGCAGATCATCCCATTGGATTATCCACGGCGCCGGCGCTCGCACGATTCCTGCACTGCGCATCGACTCTTTTACAAATAACGTACATGTATCTACGCCCGCGAAACTTGCATACATGAATCGCAAAGGATGTTCGTAAAAAAAAACCCTTTCGCAGGTGTTTAAATGCATATAGAAACTCACGTACGTACGCGCACGAAAGTGGTGGCACTCATCGACACGCAA